TTGTGAAGTATGGAAATGGATGAGCCTTTTGAAAAACTTCACATAAACACTGGTTATGAAAAGCTTTTAAGAGATGGAACTGTTTGAAGAGCTTTTCTTTAGATAGCAAGAGTGAAATAACCAGCACCTTCTTCAATGGTGAATAGAGGTATTTAAGGTGGAAAAATTCATCCGTTGGAGGGAGATGAAGATTTCAAACCTAATATCCAGTGTGTATTAACCAGTGGGCATCAGCATTTAATGCACTTGTACTACGTAACCGTTGGAGCCAAAAGCATTATGGCTTTTGTCCTTGTTCTCTGACAAGGAGGTACAAGTCTTTTAATGCATCTTGTCTTTTGTGAAGATCACTCCTAGGACACTTTTTGTCCGAATGATTTGCCCATCTGAGTCATAGACAACATTCTCATTGCTTCACTTAAATGAAGGTTGTCTTTTACAAGTCTGTCTTTGACTTGTTCACTCAGAGATGTTGGTCGAAAGATTGACTTTATCTTTCGTCCTTTCTCTTTGACGAGAGATCCTTTTTGTCAAAGGAGGTCTGTCCGAGACTTGCTCAATCCATCTTTCGCCTGAAAGCAGCTTTTGATCATCTTGTCGTCTTCGCGTCTTTATGTAGACCTATTATTCTAGTCTCAAGAAAGATTCGTACACTTCATGGTGTGAATCAATCGTTGAGTTACAATAACTCTCGTTTGTCACAAGAGACCTATCTATGAAAAAAAAAAAAAAAAAAAAAAAGGAGTATACAATCATAGACAGTTTGGTATCATCAAAATCTAATTACACTTGTTCCTAACAAACTTTAGAAAAACTTTTGTTCTACGTCGAAAGATAATGTGAGGCTCGTACATGTTTAGCTCAATGGTTTAATAGGCCGTATTTGAGAAAAAAGATCAAGGTTCGAATTGTGACAGTATGGGAATTATACCCAATGTGAGCAGATCTTTTGTGCACACCGGCATATGACCTTGTATATATACTAACATCTACCATCCTCCCAAATGCTTTGCCATGTGGGCAAACCTTGAGCTATAATTTATTTCCCACACACGTAAAATTAAAGGTGCAAACCTGGAGCTACTATATACAATCGCCATTATTAAGATTTGGCGAATTTTCAAAGTGGGGAAGATATGGACCCAACTCGTGACATGCAGTGTAATTATTATGTGTGTGAGTCCTCCGTCAACTCGTCAACGTAGTGGACCCAACACACTTAATAATGCAGATGAGAGTAAATTTCCAGTGCGATGAGTTTTTGTTTTCATTCTCAGATATTTCTCCATTGCCCAGATCCTTGAAAGTCCTGATATTTGAAAATCTGAATGAAGAAGCTAAGGTTGTGGCTTCAACCGTTTGGTTTGGTTTGATTTTTCTTTTTGGATTTGAAAATGGTGGCGTTCAGTACTGATTGCTTGTTGGCAAGACGTACAAAAAATATTCATTCGCATATTTAATCCTCATTCCAATTAGTTTGTTGTATGGCCGAGTTCCATATATGGCTTCTACCTCTTCTTCTTATACTCCGTTACAATTAACCCGGAAATTCACTTATGATGTTTTCTTGTTACATATAGTACAATAGTTTAATAAATGTAGGTTCTAATATCTTTGGGCAGCCAAATAGGCAAATTATCAGTCCTAGTATATATCGTGGAAAGTATACATTGTACTGTGGATCCTAGTCTTGCATGGTGTTGTTTTTGAATGACGGCTTATTTAATTATGACGGTGATATTGTTTGATTGTCCAATTCACGTTACAGTTACTTTTTACTATAAAACATGTGGAGTTCTACTACATGTTGCCCCTCAATTTTCAAAACGTGCCATATATTGGTCCTTTCCTGAATTATTAGTAGTGTAAATGTGCTTACCCATCGTTTTCCCTGTTCGAGACCACGTTTTTTTCCTCAATTTTTCTTTCTTCGTTTGTTCTTCTTTCGTGGACAACAATTTTTCTCCTTCATCCTATTAGTGGAGGAGCAATATGTGTTAGGTTTTAAAAATTGAGAGTCAACATTTACACCGCTAATAATTCAGGGGTGACATTGATAATTGATATATTTGTGATGGCATAAATTAAATTTTCCCTTAATTATAATATGTACTTAATATGTTAAATGCATATACATAAAATGTTAATTGCAAGTACGTAATTTGAATGTGTGTTGGACTAGGGTCCATAATGCAAGATGAGCCTTGATCCATGGTATAACAATTAAGCCAGACCAAATACATTATTTGTTGTGCTGATTACGTTAATTAACATTTTTAAATTCAAAATTTATGTCTACCAAAGTCACTTTGCAATCCCAACCACTTTTAGGTGTTCATTTTCTATAAATAGCACATGCATGCAAATTGTGTTCAATTTATGTGGCTTTATGGTATAACTTTCTTTGTATCACTATGATATTTTTTGAGTTTGACAAGTAATGGGTATAGTATTTTGTTTTTTTAATCCCAAGACTAATTCATTGCTCCGTATAAAGTAAAATTTGATATAAGGTACTATAGATATATACTTGATTACAATAAGAGATTGTTAGAATATCATATGATATATATTTTGATAATTTAAACATTTATTTGTGCTATATAAATTTTATAAATAATATAATTATTAAATATTTGTTAGAAGTTCAGCCCCTCGTCTCTTAAGAATGAGGTTGGGGGTTCAATCCTCAACCATGTGAATGGAGCAAACTATTTGGCCAGTCCTCTATCAGTTAGTGTGCTGACAGTTGGGATGAAAAATTAATCTTCTAGCTATCGACGGGAGGGATACCCTTGGGCAACCAAAGAAAATAAATAAATAAATAAAATTTCCTTTTAACAAGTATAGAATATACCATTTAAAAAAAAAATTCTTTTCCACACACGTAAAAGGTGCAAACCTTGAGCTACTATGCACAATTGTTATACAGTGAATGGTAGTCCATAAAGCACTATGTGGACCATGAATGGTCGTGAAATGAAATTATAGTAGAATTAAAATAATACTTAAGTGCTGTTATAGTGGAAGTAGTGTGTGTAGAAAATGAAACTAAAAAATAGAGCTTATTTTGTCAAATGAAATTATAGTATAATTAAATTAAATCGATAATTTAGTGCTGTTATAATGAAACTAGTGTGTGCGAAAATGAAACTATAAAAAGCGATAAGCTCTTATGATGAAACTGTAGTATAATTAAATTGATACTTTAATATTGCTATAATGAAACTAGTATGTGTGAAAAATGAAATTAAAATTCAAAGCTATACAATAACATATATTGTCAAATAAATCTAGAGTGTAATTAAAATAATATTTCAATATTATTACAATTAAATTAATATATATATGTAAAAAAAATGAAACTAAAAAGTAAACCATTATCAAATATAGGAAAAATGACACTTTTTCCCCCTATGTTATATACTTTTAGCACATTTTCTCCTTGAATTATTTAAGTGGCAGTTTTTCTCCCTGGTATGTTAAATGGACATATTTACCCTTAAAATAAATATTCCATTTATTTTTCTTCTCTAACAGACACTATAGCAACCAAACAGAATGTTATGATGGCAATTTAGAACTGGAACCCGATATTTAGGCTATGTTTGGCAGAGCTTATTTAGGAGCTTATAGTTTATTTTAAGCTACTAATAGGTACCAAGCACATTGTGTTCAGATGGCACCTGAGTTGGACTCCCATGTGGGAGGTTGTAAGTTTGAGCCTCCGTTGAGACATTGTTAGCTCTTGCTTCTAGCTTCCTAACTTTTTTCCCCATCTTTATTCTTATTATAACCCTTTTCTCTTCTCCTATTATTATTATTATTATTATTATTATTATTATTATTATTATTAACAATATTGCTACTTCATTATGATTATGCTAATAGTTTTATTTTAAAATATTAATTTTTTTAAAGACAAAATGTTAAATTTTAATATGTAAACAAACTAATTTAAATTTTATGAAGATGTCTTTTTTAGTCTGTTTACATTTATCAGCTTATCAAAAAGCTAATTTTACCAAACACTTTCAATCATAACAGCTAGCTTAACAGCTCTTCAGTTTTCAGCTCCGAGCTTATAGCTTTTCAGCTTTCAACTGCTTTTCAACTTTCAGCTCCTAGCTTATAGCTTTTCAGCTAGGTTTGCCAAACAGAGCCTTAGAGTTTATTAAAATCGCAAATCAATACTGCCAGTTCATGTTCTGAATTGAAAAAATAAAATACATTAATTTTTGAATTTAGAATATTTTTTAAAAAAAATTTAAAAGAAAGTTTGAACCAACAGTTCAAATTGGATCCGAAACTGTGAACCGATGACTCAAAATAAAAATCAAATAGCGGTTATATGTACTTATATGTTAGAGTCAGTATAAATGTGAAAAAAAAAAAAAAAAAAAAAAAAAAAAAAAAAAAAAACATACACCATTTACAAATATTATAATTCTAATTTTAAGCTAATGCTAGTAGTTGTTCCGATTTGAACCTCTGGTTCACGGTTCAGGATCCATTTTTTTCCAGTTTACGATTTTAATAAACGGAAACCCAAATATTGGGTTCTGGTTTTGAATCATAACCGAAAAATTTAGATATGATTGCTATAGTGTCCGGTTCAGTTCGAACCGAACCGTGGTCATCCCTACATATAACTGTATAAGCAATAATTTGTTAAAGAAGAGAAATAAATAAAATATTTAGTTTAAGGGTAGAAATGTCCATTTAATATATCAGGGAAAAATCGTCACTTATGCATGAATAACTCAGGGGAAAAAAATGCTATATATAAGCATATAACTCAGGAGAAAAAGTGTCATTTTCCCTTAAATATAATTAAAGTGTAATTAAAACAATCCTTACTTGCATACTATGAACAATGGTGTAGGGTAAAATTTGCCTACTATGCAATCACCATTATTATGATTTGGAGAATTTTCAAAGTGGGGAAGACATGGACCCAATTCGTGACATGCAGTGTAATTATCTGTGTGTGATGACATTTTGTTTTCATTCTCAGATATTTTTTCTCCCAAATTCATTCTTAGCTAGATAGATATTATTTCTCGTCAGGGCTTCAGCAACGGTAGATGAAGAGCACTTGCCAAGTTGCCATTGCCCAGTTTAATTTCTTTGTTGATTTCATATATTTAATCTCCATTCCAATAAGTTTGCAGTATGGTCAAGTTCGAGGATATGGCTTCTACCTCTTCTGCTACCCCTTCACAATCAACTCCGAAATTCACTTATGATGTTTTCTTGAGTTTTCGAGGCGAAGATACTCGAAAAACCATAGTGGATCACCTTTACCATTGGCTGAAACAGAAAGGGCTCCACGCCTTCAAAGATGACGAGCGGCTGGAGAAAGGACAGTCTATTGCTCCCACTCTCCTACAAGCTATTCAACAATCAAGATTTGCAGTTGTTGTCTTCTCCAAAAATTATGCATCGTCAACCTGGTGTCTAGACGAACTTGCAGAAATCATGGAAGGCAAAGATAAACTCAACCAGGTTGTGGTGCCAATTTTCTACGACATAGAGCCTTCACATGTGCGCAAACAAACTGGAAGTTTTGAAGAAGCATTTGCCAAACATGAAGAGAATGAGGGCAAGGGGAGGGTTGAAAGATGGAGGAAAGCTTTGATAGAGGCAGGCAGTATTGCAGGGCACGATTTGCATGGTGCTGAGTATAACGGGTTTGCTTTCAAGTTTCAACATCTTACCTTGTTTTCTTTTTCATTTTTATTGTTTTTTATCTTATTAAATATTATTAGAGTATTATTAATTATAAATATATATAAATTGAAAGTAATATATAGAGTTTCTTGAAAAATTACCAACTAGCTACTAGTTAATTTAGTTTCTTCTCAGGTATGAATTAAAGTGTATCGAAGCAGTGATTGCTGATATATCAAAACAGTTGCCTCCACCTCCAAGTGTACAAAAAGGTTTAGTGGGATTAGAGTCACGGCTTGAAGAAATAAGAATGAAGTTGAAAGTGTGGGATAAAGATGTTAAGTTGGTATTAGGCCTTTGGGGTATGGGCGGTATTGGAAAAACAACTATTGCAAGAGTTGCTTTTGATCGATTTTCTAGTGCATTTGATGGCTCATGTTTTCTTGCTGATGTTAGAAAACATAGGCGGGAAGCCTTGCAAAAGAAACTCCTATCAAAAGTTCTCAAGGAAAATTCAATTGATATAGATGATGTAGATGAAGGAATTCAGATGATAAAGAAAAAGCTCGAGTGGAAGAAAGTATTAATTGTTCTTGATGATGTAGATCATCGGGATCAATTAGATAAATTGGTTGGAGATGGTGAATGGCTTTGCAATGGTAGTAGAGTCATCATAACTACCAGAGACAAGCATTTATTCACTCAATTTAGAATTGTTGTTGAAACTTGTGAAGTAAAGAAATTGGAGAAAGAAAAAGCACTAGAACTATTTAGTTGGCACGCTTTTAAGAAAGAATCTCCAGAGAATGGATTTGAAGATCTGTCTACATCTTTTATAGCTCATGCTGGTGGTCTTCCATTAGCCCTTAAAGTCTGGGGTTGTTCTCTATGTGGATGGACAGACCAAAAAAAGTGGGAAAGCACACTAGAGAAGATTAAAGACATACCAGATGGGGAAGTTACTGAAAAGCTCGAGATTAGTTATGATGGACTAGATGAGGACTGTAAAAAGGTATTTTTAGATATAGTATGCTTTTTTCGGGATGAACGTCGGGATATTGTAGAAGAAGTACTTAATGGTTGTAAATTACATCCGATTACAAACATATCAGTGCTTATTGATAGATGTCTACTATTTGAATCATTGGGATTTATTCATATGCATGATTTGATACATGAGATGGGGTTGAATATTGAAAGAGGAAAAATGAGCAGGATATGGCGGCTTGAAGACCTTGATGATGTAAGATACATTTATTTTGACTTATAATATCTTCCTAATAAGGAAACATCAAAAAAAAAAATTTTAATAATGTTCTTTTGAATTAAAATGATTTAATGTACATATTATTTTATTGCTTAATGTTAGGAGCCTAAGGCGGTGGAAGGTCTTTTGCTTTCAATCAACTGTGATGAGATTATTAGCCCTTGGATTGAAGCTTTCGAACATATGACAAAATTGAAGATGCTCATAGTTAAGTATAGAAAACATGATCTTTGTAGCTCAGAGTCACATCTAGAGAGTATTGAAGCCTTCAAAGAGACAGGCATCATGAATTATCTCCCAAGGAGTTTGATGGTGCTCAAATTCCCATATTATCCATGGTCAAAGCTTTTTTTTCCAATGGTATTTCATACTTAATTAACCCTGCATGCACTTTGTGCTAATCTTTTTTTCCTTATTTTTTTTATATACTTTTTTTTCTTATTTAAGTGTTCAACCTTTCTTTATCCCCAATCTTCTCTTGCAGGAAATGAAGAAACTGACCTATTTGGATCTGAGCTTATCCAAATCTTTGTTAGAAACCCCAAATTTTGCAAAGATGCCGAACTTGATAAATTTAAATCTTTCAGACTGTAAGAAATTAGAGACGATCCATCCATTGATTAAAAATCTTACGAAACTTGTTAAATTAAATTTACGTGGATGCAAAAATCTTGCAAAGATTCCTAGCTTCAATCAAGTAAGTTTCATGTCTCAAGTTTCTCAATCATGACAATTACACTAAGTTAAAAAAAAATTTCAGAAATCAAGGCAAGACACTACATCTAGAGGAATTGGATTCATATGTTGAGATTATAGAACTTCCCTCATCAGCATAATATATGTTAGTTATTTTTAAAAAGTTTTTAAATTCAAGATATATTTATGAACAATTTGACTAATCTCATTCTTTTCATGCATGAAATGAAGAGTATTACCTATTTGGATCTTACATTTTGTCTGTCTTTGTTAGAAACACCAAATTTTGCTATGATTATGCCAAAATTTGAAGTATTTAAAACTTTCAATGTGTGAGAAATTAAAAGATATCCACTCATCTATTGAAAATCTTACGGAACATGAGGTTTTGGTTTTTGATGGATGAAGTAATTTTGAAAAGCTTTCCAGCTTTAACAAGGTATAATATCCCATAATATCAAGATTCAAAATTGCATAAAATTACAAAGCATTTCATAAATCAAGGCAAGTATACAACATCTAATAGAGTTGGATGTATTATATGTTGGTCTATAGAACTTTTTTTCATCAACTCAATGACACGGCAATATGTGTTAGTAATTTTTAAAAAGTTTTTTATGTTAAGAGTTGTGATCAATTTGACTAAACTCATTCTTCTTATGCAGGAAATGAAGAACATTACCCGTTTGGATATTAGTTACTGTAGCTCTTTGTTAGAAACGCCAAATTTTGCTATGATGCCGAATTTGACATTTTTAAATCTTACAAAGTGTCAGAAATTGAAAGAGATCCACCCATCTTTTAGAAATCTTACGGAACTTGCGGACTTGAATTTTGATAGATGTAGTAACCTTGAAAAGCTTCCCAACTTTAACCAGGTATAATATCTCCATAATCTCAACCTTCGAAATTGCATCAAATTAAAAAAAAAAAAAAACAAAAACATTTTAGAAATCAATTACACAATATCTATTGGTGTTGGATATATATTATATGTTGGGGTTATAGAACATCCCTCATCGACAGGGACGGAGCCAGAAAATTATTTGAATGGGGGCGAAGTTTAAATGACGATAGAAATGTTAATTACAAAATATCAAACAGTCATAATAAGGTTAAAATACAAAATATATTATAAATTACAATATAATGCTTTTGATAGATTACATGATAGTTAGAGTCAGAGCAAAAAATATACTTGAGTGAGGTGAAAATGTAAAAATATTTATAGCAAAATATGAAACATTATCAATTAGATAAAATAATTTGAATAACACTATATCCGTAAATAGTTTTTAATTTAATTTTTTTTTAGTTAAATCAACTTTAAATTTTTCTAAATTAATTGAAATACAATGAAGTATAATATAAACTTGTATACTACATTAATTAAATGATTCATAAAAAGTAGACTAAAAGAGTATTTAATTTGTTAATTAAATGATTCATAAAAGTAGATTAAAAGATATTTAATTTATCTTGGAAATGAATGAAAGAGACACAATAAACAAGTGTAAATAAGAAAAAGTATTGTTAATGAGATTTGCACCTGTGGTTGGACACATTTTATTTTATTTAATATTAAATTTAAAATTCAACCAACTAAGCTACAAAAATTATTTAGAACTTATTAGAAATCAAGGCAAATGCATAACTTTTCATTAATTTGAATATTGATTTTATATAATATTTAATGTGCACTATATATATATATATATATATATATATATATATATATATATATAAAGAGGTGGGGTGGAGTTGGGGGAGTGGGGGCAGCTGCCCCCGTTGCCCCAGAGGCCATAGTAACTCCGTTCATGCTCATCGACGCAACTACTTGACATTAAGTGTTAGAAATTTTAAAACATATTTTAAATTTAAGAGTTCTTATTAATGTAACTAATCTTAATTTTCTCATGCAGGAAATGAAAAGCATTTTCTAGTTTGAATCTTAGATATTGTAACTCATTGTTAGAAACACCAAAGTTTGCTACGATGTCAAATTTGGCATTTTTTAACCTTTCAATGTGTAAGAAATTGAAAGAGATCCACCCATGTTTTGGAAATCTTACAAAACTTATGGAATTGGATTTTTATAGATGTAATCTTGAAAAGCTTCCCAGTTTTAACTAGGTATCATATCTCCCGAATCTCACGGTTGAAAATAGCATAAATTACAAACTTTTCAGAAATCATGGCAATATGAGTTAGTTATTTTTAAAATGTTTTTTAATTTAAGAGTTCAGATCAATTTGACTATTCTATTTTTTTTCATGCAGGAAATGACGAAACTTACTCATTTGGATCTTAGATTTTGCAGCTCTTTGTTAGAAACTCCAAATTTTGATTTGATGCCGAATTTGGAAAACTTAAATCTTACAACGAAATTGAAAGAGATCCACCCATCTATTGGAAATCTTACCAAACTTGTTAACTTGACTTTGGATGGATGTAGTAACCTTGAGCAGCTTCCCAATTTTAACCAGGTATCATATCTCTAGAATCTTAAGCTTCAAAATTGCATAAAATTTCAAAACTTTTTAGAAATCAAGGCAAGTGCATCACTTTTAATAAAGTTGGATTTAATAAATGTTGGGATTATAAAGCTTCCCCCATTGACGCAAAACTCATTAATATGTGTTATTTATTTCTAAAAGGTTTTTTAATTTAAGAATTCCAGTCAATTTAACTATTATCATTCTTCTTATGCAGGAAATGAAGAACATTACCTGTTTGGTTATTAAATCTTGCATCTCATTGTTAGAAACTCCAAATTTTTCTATGATGCCAAATTTGGAACATTTAGATCTCTCAAATTGTAAGAAATTGAAAGAAATCCACCCATCTGTTGAAAATCTTCCACCCATCTGTTGAAAATCTTACGAAACGTAAATTCGTGAATTTGGATGGATGCATTAACCTTAAGAAGCACCCCAGCTTTTACCAGGTATCATATCTCTAGAATCTCACTTAATAATGCAGATCGGAGTAAACTTCCAGTGTGATAGACTTTTTGTTTTCATTATATTCTCAGATAGATATTAGCCTTTTTCCCCTCATCAGTTCAATTCCATTTTAGTCCAAACCAAAACACCCATTTCTCCATCTCTTCTTGTCAATTAATTTGTGTTTTCTGTTTCAAGTGAAAAAATGTGTAGATCAGTTGTTGAAGATCCAGGTATCTTCTGGGCAAACTCCGTGCGCCGTTGTTGATCAAATTTAATTTCTTTCTTTCTTTGTTTCAATTTTCTTCTTTTCTGTGTGTTTTTTGTTTTTCAATTTTTTAAAGTTTTTCTAATGTACTGTGTTTCTTATTTGAACTGGGTTTGTTTTGACTGGGTTGGCTTGTTCATGCAGACTTTTCCCATAAAAGTAAGCATTGACGACTGTGAAGCCTGTAAGATAATAGTGAAGAAAATCATGCAAAGGATTAATGGTATATATACATGCTTAAATATATTACCCAAAATAATCCAAAAATTTGATAAAATTGTTCTTATTTCTTGAATTTTCTTTGCGTTTTTGTTATGTATGGCTAGGCGTGTACGTCGTAAAATTCGAAGCGGAGATCAACAAGATCACCGTCTTCGGCGATGTGGAGCCGGGGACGTTGATCACAAAGCTGATCCTCAATCTCAGGCGGCATGCAGAGCTAATTGGTGACCCTAAGGAAAAGGAATAAGGGTCAAATAGGCTATCCAATTGTACACCAAAATGTAATTAGGTCATTGAACTAAAAGTTAATCAATTAGATTCTTGAACAACACAAAATCATGCAATTAGATTCAAACTGACCTGTTTATCTGAAAATATGCTGAATTAATTAAAATTATTTTTAAAAAAAATTAAAACATTACCTGCCGGCCGACTTCATCTGGGAGACGAAGACCTTCGTCTCCTAGCCATGGAGACGAAGGTCCCTTCTTTTCCATAGCCGGAGACCACCGGCCATGGATGAGATGAAGAAACCTTCGTCTCCATGGCCAGGGAGGTGAAGGGATCTTCGTCTCCTGGCTCTGCTGGAAACAAAGGTCTTCGTCTCCGATCATGGAGACAAAGTCGGCCAGATATAAATTCGTCACCGGCCTGTAATGTTTTAGTTTTTTTTTTTAATTATTTTATTATTTTATTATAATTATTTTAAAATATTATTTTTAAATTTGAAAACTACCACATCAGCAAATTGCCAGATAAACAAGTCATTTTGGATCTTTTTGTGTTGTTCAGGGACCCAATTGCAATATTTTTTAGTTCGATGATCCAATTGCAGTATTTTTTAGTTCGATGATATAATTGCATTTTGGTGTGCAGTTGGATGGCCTATTTGACCATTACTCCTAAGGAAAATAATAGCGTGCGGGTTGAGGACACGCGGTAAAGGTGCGATGCTTACTTATACCTTGTTATGTGTACACGTCGGTCTTGACTTTAGGCCTTGATGGTCAAATCTCAAGAAATTTTATATTTAGTGACAACACAAGTTACCAAAATTATATATCAATTTTGGTCACTAATTTTATTATTGACCAATTTTTGAAGTCGTCATACCCTACAATAGTGACGACTTTTGAAAAGTTGTTACGATTACGTACTCAAGACTTTTGTGATAAGGTTTACTTACACTATTATTTGAAGAATAACAATAGAGGTCATAATAAATTTATATTATGTGACAAAATATGTTATTACAAAAAAAAAAAAAAAAATTATCTAGTAATAACTAAAATTGTTGCAATTAATCATTTTATTGTGACAACACTTTAGTCACAATAATTGTACTTATTTGTGAGAATTGTTATTGACTCAAAAATGATTATCATTGACCTAAAGAGTGGTAACAAATAATTACTTTATTGTAACAACAATCATGATAACAAATGTTGCATGAGTTAATACTAGTGGATGTCCTTTGACTATGGTGACACTGCGACTACATTTGGTCCTCAATTTTTTATTCACCACCATTAGTCCTTGTACAATATATTAATTTTTACCTTCCAATTACAAACTCTAAATTTTGCTAAAATGTCCAAGTTGGTATATTTAACTATTTATACCTTTCGCAGTGTGAAATAGAAAGGGATTGTTATGCTGTGCAACCGTGTTCTCCATTCATTGTGCACATGGGTCTAGATTCATAATTTTTATACTGTAGATTCATAAAATCTATACTCTAGATTCATAATTTTTAAACCGTAGATTCATAATTTAAATACAGTAGATTCATAATTTCTATACTGTAGATTCATAATATCTGTACTGTAGATTCATAATTTCTAAACTATATAGTTATTAAATTATGAACATATAGTTATGTGATTTGTGAATACAGAGTTCAACAATTGGGAATAGGAACATCGAAAATGATGAACATATAGCTCTATAATTATGAACATATATTTATAAAATTATGAATCAACAGTATAGAAATTATTAATTTACGATATAGAAATTATGAATCTAGACTCGTGTGCATCATGCATGTACACGGTTGCATAACATAATTTGTAGTAACCTTGAGAAATTTCCAATCTTCAATCAAGTTTCATCTCTCAATAAAAAATATCGATCTTCACAATTATATTGTATAAGATTTAAAAAAAAAAAAAAAATCAGAAATCAGGAAAAATTGGCCGCTTCGAGTAGAGTTGGATATAATATAAGTTTAGATTACAGAACTTACCTCATCTACGCTACAACTCGACATTTTGTGTTAGTTATTTTTTAAAATCTAAGAGCTCACATCAATTTAATTATTCTTAATCTTCTCTTGCAGGAAATGAAGAATCTTTTCTATTTGGATCTTAGCTGTTGCAACTCTTTGTTAGAAACCCCTAATTTCGCTAAGATCCCAAATTTGAAGAAGTAAAAACATTGAAGTTGTGAAAAATTAAAAGAAATCTACCCATATGTCAATAACCTTGTGATCTAGTGGTATGAAGTGACTCTCCCATATGTGAGGTCATGAATTCGAGTTTCAATGGGGATAATATTGACTCTTTGTGTTTCAGCAGTAATCTTTACTATTGCCATGAATTAAAAAAGGGAGAAGTGTCAAATAGGCACATCTACTACTGCCAAGTGCTCAATTTCTGCCACGAACTAAATTAAAGGCTAATTAACCACACTTACCTACTAAATTTGTTCAATTGACTTTTTTTTTGCAGGGTATTAACAGGTTACCAATTCAATTATTAAAAAAATAATTAAAAATTAATTTTTTTAAAAAAAACGGAATTTCAGCCACCGGCTGTCCGGTGGCTGAGTATTTTTAACAAACAGTCGTTGCTGTCCGGCAAGCCACGGCTGTCATGTTTGAGGTCCAGATCTGTCTGGAGACGGCCATGGCCGTTTGGAACGAGCGCGGCGGCCAGCCCTCGTTCCAGGGCGTTTGAGGTCCAGATCTGGACCTCAAACATGATAGTCGTGGCTATACGACTGTCCTCGCCGGACAGCCACGGCTGTCTGTTAAAATACTCAGCCACCGGCGGTCCTCGCCGGACAGCCGGTGGCTGAAATTCCGTTTCTCTTTTTATTTTTATTATTTTTTAAATTTTTTTTTAATAATTGGATTGGTAACTTGTTAGGTACCTGCAAAAAAAGTCAATTGAACAAATTTAGCAGGTAAGTGTGGTTAATTAGCTTTTAATTTAGTTCCTAGTGAGAATTGAGCACTTGACAGTAGTAGATGGACCTATTTGACACTTCTCCACATTTTATTTAATAACTCCTTCTTAGGGAGTTCATAGAGGAACATATTAAAACATCACTCCATTAGTTTTGATTGGTAGAGTGGGCCGAGTTGAAACTATCTTCAGAGTCGTCGAGGGGTGGAGACGGAGCATATCCTTGTCCAGAGTAGTCGCTGAACTGACAATCATCAAGTGAGATTCTACTTGGAAGGTTTGAACTTGAGGAGGAGTAGTTCTCATTGAAAAACATTTGTGAAGTCCACTGGAGGATGTATGTTTGGATTTGCGGGTAGCGGTGGAAGTGGTTCCGGTGGAGGTGGTGGTGAGAAATCAATCATCTAGTTCAAGTAGAACATGTAGTCTGCATCTGGCATGGTAAGCAGCTGATCATGGAAATCTCCTTGAACTACTGGTATGTAATTCACGATGGGGAACTTTGAATCTCCAGATTTTCAGCATAAATAAATCCGGGTTCTCATGGAGGTGATGCCGGTGCTGGATGTTGGAAGTGAATGAGCGGGCTGACTTTGTTGTGCTTCTCGATTGATGATTGAGGTTTTTTGTTCTTCAGATATCAGAATGAGAGGATTACTTGGTGTATCTCCAACTCCTTTTCCACCATTTGCAATCCTTCGTGCCCTAAGTTTCTGTTTGCATACTTGTTCCCAAGATCTTCTTGATGCTCTTCTAGCACTGGTCTCCTTACTTGGATTCTTCGAAACCATTTTTTACCTGCAAAATAAACTAAGACAATACCACTTCTCCACACATTCTCTAACTAGTCCTTACAATAAATAGTCTTGAGAAGACCCTAGAAACTCATGAGCCCAAGATGTATCGTTTGAAGAGACCCTAGACATCGCTTTGTGACGGATGCGTGTTTTTGCTTTTGTGCATTGAGAGGAAATAGAAAGTTCAACCCGTGCCCAACGTGCGTTGGACACTCATGCAGAACGATCAAGTGACCGGCCAACGCACATTGGTCGGGCATTGGGCGCGCATTGGAACGTCAATTCCTATCTCTACCTTCTCTCTAGCTTAGTGAAGATCAAATGAAGAAGGAGATTGACACTCTTCCAATTCAAGAGATCAACAATTGTATTTCAATTTGGTAAAATCATTACTATATCATTTCAATTGTTTGCTTGATTTCATAATTGCAATTTAATTTATTATGGCTATGTGTGGCTAGTTTAGCTAAGGTTTGAATTGTGATGTTTTGATTCATGATGCCAATGTGACTTAATTCTTAGATTAGGAGTTGAATGTTGCTATGCTTGGGCCGGGGAATCTAGTTGTTGTGGATTGTTTTGTATGCATCCTAGGAGCTAGCCCACCTACTAAGGTTGTGCTAATCTTGAAGCCTCTATCCTTAACATTTTCTAGCCTAATGATCTAGGTTAGGAAGGACTTGTAGGCAAGGTATTCGAGGAAAGGTCATAGAATCTTTAAGAGCCCAAAGGGGAGTTCTATTGTCTACTATGAAAAGTCTTAGGGTGTGTTTGGAAACCAGAAAAATGATTTCTGGAAATCATTTTCCGGGTTTTTGGTGTTTGGCTAGGCTGGAAAATGAGAAGTCAAAGGAAAATGAGACATGGTCAATGGAAAATGAGCTCAATTTTCCGGAAAATGACTTCCCCTTTTTTTGGGGGAAGTCATTTTCCGGAAGACTTCTTTGGCCTACAACAACAACCACCTTCGTCTGTCTACAACAACAACCACCTTCGTCTCTGTCTACAACAACAACTAACACTGTGAATTCCCCCCAAGTACTGTTCTCTGGTTTCCGGCGAAACCAGAGAGAACGACGGATTTACTCTCTGGTTTTCGTTTTTTTTTTTTGTTATTTTTTTAAATTTTTTAATAAACATTATTATTATTATTGTAAATTTAATATTATTATTATTATTGTAAATTTAATATTATTATTATTATTTATAATATTATTGTAAATTTAATATATTTTAAACAAAATAATTAATTATATAAAATGTTTAATTATACAATTTTACATCATTTTCCAGAAAATGAGCCAAACAGACAAAGACAGTTTTCTATTGTGCAGCCAAACACGAGAAAGGAAAACGTTTTCCGTCATTTTCCAGAAAACATTTTCCAGAAGTCATTTTCCTGCTTTCCAAACGGACCCTTAGTAGTTGAAGAATAAAAAGACATAAGTTCATTCCCTAGATTCTAGCATAGACACATTCATACACGATAATGATCCTAAGTGCATTGTGAACAAAACTAGAAATTCAAACCTACTTTCATTTCATTGTTTAATTGTTTTAATTGCTTGTGTGTTTACTACTACAACCATGATACATTGCGTGACACAACCTCAAACTCACACAAACCTATTTCCCTAAATTGACAACATGAGGCTTCTCCAATTTGTCATCCCGAGAGAATGATAAGATCCGGGATTCATCCCACACTTGTTTGACCCGCTGAAGAGAAGAAAGCGGTTGTCAGTTATCCTAAGGGGTTGAGATGAAAAGAGAGCCCGCCTAAGCCATTGGCGGGGAGAGGTCCATACCATACTTTCACTTTACTTTTATGCGTTGGGCTTTAGCGTATCGGGAGGATGTTTGATTGTGGTGTGCACATCGTTTCCACTAGTGGGCTCGGCTTGAAGGCCCTTGTAAAATAGTAGGTGAACCCAATTTGATTGCATGATTGGCAAATTGGTGTGGAGAGTGTGTTCCCTTGAGCATAACTACATCTAATCAATATGGGTTTTTTGTTTCCTTTGAATATTCTGTGAGTTGCAAAGTATGGCACTTTGTTAACACACTTGTTTGATGATACGAGGGATTTCACCCCCTTCGTTCTCTCACACAACTTTCTTGATTGACCATTTGCTTGTTGAGATTATCATGCGCTATGTTTGTCACTTATCATTCTTGCATTGAATTGACAGCTTGCTTGAGGACAAGCAAGAATAAAGTGTGGAAATTTGTGATAAGTGCCAAAGATGCACATCTTTATGGGTCATTTAAGGGGTTGTGTTGTGTTTATTTGGAATCCTTTGTGGTTGATTTGTGTTGGAAATGCTTTGGAATGTGTGTTACAAATTCCCTATAACATGTACACTTTAGTGTTTTGAAGGTTTTTGAGCTTAAAGAAGAGCATATAGGCTTGAACTCGAGCAACCAAGAAGAGTGCAAGTGGAGGCGCCCATTATGTGCCCCTACCACGATGGATCCACGCTCATGGACCATTCGTGACTTGGGACCAAAAGGTGCCACGAGGGATCCACGAGCGTGGGCCGCTCGTGGCAAGAGACCTGGATCAAGATTTCGCTTTTAAACATCACGCTTGGGCAAGTCTTTGAGGGATGGATTTTGGACATGAGGAAACACTTGTTCTTTAGCTAGGTTTTTTATTTTTCTCTCTCTAGAGGAGAGCTAGATTCAACTAGTCACTTGTAGTTCTTCAATTATGGGAGAAAGAAGAGATCTAGAGCTTGGAGAATTGACAACTCTCCTTGATTGTGGTGATCTTCTCTCCAATTTGTAGATTGATCTCACTCTATTGAATCAAATTGGTAATCTTTCATCTTTCATCTTTTATCTTTTAATTCCACATTCTAGCTTGCTAGCTTGAATCAATTGCATTGTGATTTCAATTAATGATGTTGAGTGGCTAGATCTCCTGAATTAATTGCATTGTGATTTCAATTGCATTGTGATTTCAATTGCATTGTGATTTCAATTGAATCAATTGCATTGTGATTTCAATTGCATTGTGATTTCAATTGCATTCTTACTTTGATGGGAAAATTGTAAAAAATGCCCCTCTATAATATGTCAATTATCAATGTCACCCCTGAATTATGAGTGGTGTAAATGTTGCCCCTCAATTATCAAAATGGTGCACATATAGCCCTCCCGTAACGGGCATGTGATTCCCCACTGCTATCCATCGCTGGTACTTCGAATCGAGTGAGGGAAAAAATAACTAAATTACATATTTACTCCGACTAAACGGTGTTGTACACTAATGGGGAACAACATGTCTGTTACATGAGGGGCTATATGTGCACCGTTTAGATAATTGAGGGGTAACATTTACACCACTCATAATTCAGGGGTGACATTGATAATTGGCATATTATAGAGGGGTATTTTTTACAATTTTTCTTACTTTGATTGATGAGATGATGAGTAATGCTAGACCTAGAATGCTTTGTTGTGAATGAGTTTTGTCTTGATCATTTCTTCATTTGTGGAGATAGCAAGAGATTGTGCTTCCATGTAGTCTTTCTCATTTGCTTTCCCCGTTCTTCGATCCGAGAGGGAAAGACCCAGGATGGGGCGTATAGTAGCCAAGGTGTTTTGTGAAATGCCTCCCTTAAGTTAGTCTTTTATTGCACAACCTTTTGTCTACCTTAGGCCATCGAATGCATTATATCAAGTGTTCTCCATCCAATTCCCCGTTTTACATATTTGCTCGTTGTCTTTACATTCTTGCACTCTCCCCTTGCATACAAGCCTCCCTACACCTTCTTTCTACCTAGTTAACTCTTGTGAATGCATTACCTATGATTGTTTTGCACTCCACTTACTCCAATTTTTCATCTTTGTGAGATCCACACTCGGGGATTCCATCTCTGTTTACACTTTTCCATCCTACCAAACTACATTCCGTCACTAAGACATATTGTCAACTTGTTGCGTTTATGAGCGAAGTTCTATAATCCAAACATATAATATATCCAACACCAGGCCAATAGATATGTGTACTTGAATTTTGATTTTTTTTTAATTTGATGGAATATTGAAGCTTGAGATTATGGAGATATTAAACCTGGTTAAAGCTGGGAAGCTTTTCAAGGTTACTACATCCATCAAAAATCAAGTCCACAAGGTTTGTATGATTTCCAAAAGATGAGTGGATCTCTTTCAATTTCTCATACTTTGAAAGGTCTAGATATTTCAAATTTGGCATCATAACAAAATTTGGTGTTTCTAACAAAGAGCTACAATTTCAAAGATCCAAATCGGTAACGCTCTTCATTTCCTGCATGAGAATAATGAGATTAGTCAAATTGATGAAAACTCTTAACCTAACAAACTTTTTAAAAATAACTAAGACATATTGTTGAGTCAATGAGCTAGGGAAGTTCTATAATCCGAACATATAATATATCCAACACCAGTAGATATTGTGTACCTGAATTTTGAAATGTTTTTTAATTTGAAGTAATTCTGAAGCTTGAGATTATGGACATATTATAACCTAGTTAAAGCTGGGAAGCTTTTCAAGTTTACTACATCCATACAAAACCAAGTCCACAACTTTTGTAAGATTTCCAAAAGATGGGTGAATCTCAATCAATTTCTCAATCTTAGAACGGTTTAAAAATCCAAACATGGCATCATAGCAAAATTTGGTGCTTCAAACAAAGAACTACAATATCAAAGATCCAAACGAGTAATTCTAATCACTTCATGCATGAGAAGAATGAGACTAGTCAAATTGATCAGAACTCTTAAATAATTTTTTTTTTTTAAATAACTCATATTGTGAAGATGTATTGTCAATAAGGGAAGTTCTATATAACCAACATATACTATATCCAACACCAATAGATATTGTGTACTTAATTTTTGAAATATTTTTTAATTTTATGCAATTCTGAAGTTTGAGATTATGGACATACGATACCTGGTTAAAGTTGAAAAGCTTTTCAAGGTTACAACATCCATCAGAAACCAATTCCATAAGTTCCGAAAGATTTTGCAAAAATGGGTGGAACTCTTTCAATTTTCTCACACTTTGGAAGTTGTAAGTATTCCAAATTTGGCATCATAGCAAAATTTGGAGTTTCTAACAAAGAGCTACAATTTCAAAGATCCAATCTGGTAATGTTCTTCATTTCCTACATGAGAAGAATGAGATTAGTCAAATTGATGAAAAATCCTAAATTTAAAAAAACTTTTTAAAAATAACTAAGACATATTGTCGAGTTGTTGCGTCGATGATGGGAGTACGTTTATATTCCCAACATATACTATATACAACACCAACAGATATTGTGTACTTGATTTCTAAGATGCTTTTTACTTTTATGTAATTTTAAAGTTTGAGATATGGAGATATTATACCTGGTTAAAGCTGAAAAGCTTTTCAAGGTTACTACATCCATCAGAAACCAATTCCATAAGTTCCGAGAGATTTTACAAAAATGGGTGGAACTCTTTCAATTTTCTCACACTTTGGAAGTTGTAAGTATTCCAAATTTGTCATCATAGCAAAATTTGGTGTTTCTAACAACGAGCTACAATTTCAAAGATCCAAACTGGAAATGTTTTTTATTTCCTACATGAGAAGAATGAGATTAGTAAAATTGATCAAAACTCTTAACTTACAATAATTTTTGAAAATAACTACAACATACTCCTCAAGATGTTGCGTCGATGAGTAAGTTCTATAATGCAAATATATAATACAACCAACACCAATAGATATTCTGTACTTGAATTTTGAAATGTTTTCAATTTGATGCAATTTTGATGCTTGAAATTATGGAGATATTATACCTGATCAAAGCTGGGAAGCTTTTCAAGGTTACTACATCCATCAAAAACCAATTCCACAAGTTTCGTTAGATTTGCCATAGATGGGTTGATCTCTTTCAATTTCTCACAATTTGAAAGTTGCAAGTATTCCAAATTTGGCATCATAGCAAAATTTGGTGTTTCTAACAATGAGCAACAATTTCTAATATCCAAACGGGAAACGCTCTTTATTTCCTGCATGAGACGAATGGGATTAGTGAAATTGATCAAAACAATTAACTTATAGTACTTTTTAAAAATAACTAAGACTTATTGTCAAGTTGTTTCGTCAATGAGTAAGATCTATATAGCGAATATATATTACATCCTACACTAATAGATATTGTGTACTTGAATTTTGAAGGTTACCTAGCCGGGAAGCTTTTCAAGGTTACCACATTCCTCAAAAACCAATTTCACAAGTTACGTTAGATTTCCCAAAGATGGGTGGATCTCTTTCAAATTCTCACACTTTGAAATCTCGAAATATTTCAAATTTGGCATTATAGCAAAATTTGGTGTTTATAACAAAGAGCTAAAATTTCTAAGATTCAAACTAGTAATGCTCTTCATTTCCTCCATGAGAAGAATGAGATTATTCAAATTCATGAAAACTCTTAACCTAAAAAACTTTTTAAAAATAACTAAGATATATTCTCGAGTAGTTGCATCGATGAGGGAAGTTTTAAATAACCAACATATATTATATACAACACCAACAGATATTGTGTAATTGATTTCACAGATACTTTTTTATTTTATGAAATTTTGAAGCTTGAGAATATGGTGATATTATACCTGGTTAAAAATGGGAAGCATTTCAAGGTTACTACATCCATCAAAAACCAATTCCACAAGTTCCGTTAGATTTCCCAAAGATGGGTGGATCTCTTTCAATTCCTCACACTTTGAAAGGTCTAAATATTTCAAATTTGGCATCATAGCAAAATTTGGTGTTTCTAACAAAGAGCTGCAATTTCTAATATTTAAACAGGAAATGCTCTTTGTTTCCTGCATGAGAAGAATGAGATTAGTGAAATTGATCAAAACTCTTAACTTACAACACTTTTTAAAAATATGTAACTAAGAAATATTGTCAAGCTGTTTTGTCGATAAGTAATTTCCATAATGGGAAGATATAATACATCCAACACCAATAAATATTGTGTACTTGAATTTTGAATTTTGAATTTTTTTAAAATTTGATGCAATTTTAAAGACTGAGATTATGGAGATATTATACCTGGTTAAAGCTAGGAAGCTTTTTAAGGTTACTACATCCATCAAAAACCAATTTCACAAGTTCCGTTAGATTTCCCAAAGATGGGTGGATCTCTTTCAATTTCTCACACTTTGAAAGCACTAAATATTTCAAATTTGGCATCATAGCAAAATTTGGTGTTTCAAACAAAGAGCTACAATTTCTAATATCCAAACGGGTAATGCTCTTTATTTCCTGCATGAGAAGAATAAGATTAGTGAAATTGATCAAAACTTTTAACTTACAATACATTTTAAAAATAACTAACACATATTGTAAAGTAGTTGCGTCAATGAGTAAGTTCTATAATGCAAATATATAATACCTCCGGAAACATTAAATATTGTGTACTTGAATTTTGAAATGTTTTTTCAATTTGATGCATGTTTTAATCTTGGGATTATGGAGATATTATACCTGGTTAAAGCTGGGAAGCCTTTCATGGTTACTACATCCATCAAAAACCAATTTCACAAATTCCGTTAAATTTCCCAAAGATGGGTGGATCTCTTTCAATTTCTCACAGTTTGAAAGCTCTAAATATTTCAAATTTGGCATCATAGCAAAATTTTGTGTTTCTAACAAAGAGCTACAATTTTTAATATCCAAACGGGTAATGCTCTTTATTTCCTGCATGAGAAGAAGGAGATTAGTGAAATTTATCAAAACTCTTAACTTACAATACTTTTTTAAAATAACTAAGACATATTGTGGAGTTGTTGCATCGATGAGGAAGTTCTATAATGCGAATATATAATACATCAAACACCAATAGATAAAGTATACTAGAATTTTGAAATGTTTTTAAATTTGATGCAATTTTGAAGCTTGAGAATATGGAGATATTATACCTGGTTAAAGCTGGGAAGCTTTTCATGGTTACTACATCCATCAAAAACCAATTTCACAAGTTCTGTAAGATTTCCCAAAGATGGGTGGATGTCTTTCAATTTCTCACACTTTGAAAGTAGTAAATATTCCAAATTTGGCATCATAGCAAAATTTGGTGTTTCTAACAAAGAGCTACAATTTCTAATATCCATACGGGTAATGCTCTTTATTTCCTGCATGAGAATAATGAGATTAGTGAAATTGAAAAAAACTCTTAACTTACACTACTTTTTAAAAATAACGATGGCATATTGTTGAGTTGTCGCGTCGATGAGGAAGTTGTATAGCGTGAATATAAAATACCTCCAACACCAATATATACTGTGTATATGAATTTTGAAATGTGTTTCAATTTGATACAATTTTGAAGTTTGAGATTATGGAGATATTATACCTGGTTAAAGCTGGGAAGCTTTTCAAGGTTACTACATCCATCAAAATCAAATTCCACAAGTTCTTTAAGATTTCCCAAAGATGGGTGGATCTCTTTCAATTTCTCACACCCCGAAAGTAGTAAATATTCCAAATTTGGCATCATAGCAAAATTTGGTGTTTCTAACAAAGAGCTACAATTTCTAATATCCAAACGGGTAATGCTTTTTATTTCCTGCATGAGAAGAATGAAATTAGTGAAATTGATGAAAACTATTAACCTAAAAACACTTTTTTAAAATAATTAAGATATATTGTCCAGTTGTTGCGTCGATGAGGAAGATCTATAATGCGAATATATAATACATCCAACACCAATAGATATTGTGTACAATACTTTTGAATTTTTTTTAAATTTGATGCAATTTTGAAGCCTAATATTATGGAGATATTATACCTGGTTAAAGTTGGGAAACTTTTGAAGGTTACTACATCCAAAAAAATCCAATTCCACAAGTTCCGTAAGATTTCTCAAAGATGGGTGGATGCCTTTCAATTTCTCACACTTTGAAAGTAGTAAATATTCCAAATTTGGCATCATAGCAAAATTTGGTGTTTCTAACAAAGAGCTACAATTTCTAATATCCAAACGGGTAATGCTCTTTATTTCCTGCATGAGAAGAATGAGATTAGTTAAATTGTTCAAAACTATTAACTTACAATACTTTTTAAAAATAACTAAGACATACTGTCGAGTTGTTGCGTCGATGAGGAAGTTCTATATTGCGAATTTATAATACATCCAACACCAATATATATTGTGTACATGAATTTTTAAATGTTTTTTTAATTTGATGGAATTTTGGAGCTTGAGTTTATGGAGATATTATACCTGGTTAAAGATGGGAAACTTTTCTAGGTTACAACATCCATCAAAATCAAATTTCACAAGTTTCGTTAAATTTCCCAAAGATGGATGGATCCCTTTCAATTTCTCACAGTTTGAAAGCCCTATATATTCCAAATTTGGCATCATAGCAAAATTTGGCGTTTCTAACAAAGATCTAGAATTTCTAATATCCAAATCTGTAATGCTCTTTATTTCCTGCATGAGAAGAATGTGATTAGTCAAATTAATGAAAACACTTAACCTAAAAAACTTTATAAAAATAACTAAGATATATTGTCCTATTATTGCGTCGATGAGAAAGTTCTATAATGCGTATATATAATACATCCAACACCAATATATATTGTGCACTTGAATTTTGAAATGTTTTTAATTTGATGAAATTTTTGAAGCTTGAGAATATGGAGGTATTATACCTGGTTAAATCTTGGAAGCTTTTCAAGGTTACTACATCCATCAAAATCCAATTCCACAAGTTCCGTAAGATTTCCCAAAGATGGGTGGATCTCTTTCAATTTCTCACACTTTGAAAGCCATAAATATTTCAAATTTGGCATCATAGCAAAATTTGGCGTTTCTAACAAAGATCTACAATTTCTAATATCCAAACGGGTAATGCTCTTTATTTCCTGCATGAGAAGGATATTAGTGAAATTGATCAAAACTCTTAACTTACAATTCTTTTTATAAATAACTGAGACATATTGTCGAATTGTTTCTTGGAAGATGAGGTTCAATAATGCGAATATATAAAACATCCAACACCAATATATATTGTGTACTTCAATTTTCAAATGTTTTTAAATTTGATGCTTGAGATTATGGAGATATTATACCTGGTTTAAGCTGGGAAACTTTTCAAGGTTAGTACATCCATCAAAATCAAATTCCACAAGTTTTGCAAGATTTCCAAAAGATGGGTGGATCTCTTTCAATTTCTCACACTCTGAAAGTTGTAAATATTCCAAATTTGGCATCATAGCAAAATTTGGTGTTTCTAACAAAGAGCTGCAATTTCTAATATCCAAACAGGTAATGCGCTTTATTTCCTGCATGAGAATAATGATCAAAACTCTTAACTTACAATACTTTTTAAAAATAACTAAGACATATTATCGAGTTGTTGCGTCGATGAGAAAGTTCTATAATGGGAATATATGATACATGCAACATCAATATATATTGTGTATTTGAATTTTAAAATGTTTTGTAATTTGATGCAATTTTGATGCTTGAGAATATGGAGATATTATACCTGGTTAAAGCTGGGAAGCTTTTCAATGTTACTACATCCATCAAAATCCAATTTCACAAGTTCCGTAAGATTTCCCAAAGATGGGTGGATCTCTTTCAATTTCTCACACATTGAAAGCCCGAAATATTTCAAATTTGGCATCATAGCAAAATTTGGCGTTTCTAACAAAGAGCTACAATTTTTAATATCCAAGCGGATAATGCTCTTTATTTCCTGCATGAGAAGAAGAAGATTAGTGAAATTGATCAAAACTCTTAACTTACAATACTTTTTAAAAATAACTAAGACATATTGTGGAGTTGTTGCGTCGATGAGGAAGTTCTATAATGCCAATATATATGATACATCCAACACCAATAGATATTGTGTACTAGAATTTTGAAATGTGTTTTAATTTAATGCAATTTTGAAGCTTGAGATTATGGAGAAGTTATACCTGTATAAAGCTGGGAAACTTTTCATGGTTACTACATTAATCAAAAACAAATTTCACATGTTCGGTTAGATTTCCCAAAGATGGGTGGATCACTTTCAATTTTTCACACTTTTGAGAGTACTAAATATTTTAAATTTAGCATCATAGCAAAATTTGGTGTTTCTAACAAAGAGCTACAATTTTTAATATCCAAACGGGTAATGCTCTTTATTTCGTGCATCAGAAGAATGAAGTTAGTGAAATTAATCAAAACTCTTAACTTACAATACTTTTTAAAAATAACTAAGATGTTTAGTCGATGAGAAAGTTCTATTACATATGCGAATATATAATACGTAGGTCCAACACCAATATATATTGTGTACTTGAATTTTGAAATGTTTTTCAATTTGATTCAATTTTGAAACTTGAGATTATGGAGATATTATACCTGGTTAAAGTTGGGAAGCTTTTCAAGGTTACTACATCCATCAAAATCCAATTCCACAAGTTCCGTAAGATTTCCCATAGATTGGTGTATCTCTTTCAATTTCTCACACCCTGAAAGTAGTAAATATTCCAAATTTGGCATCATAGCAAAATTTGGCGTTTCTAATAAAGAGCCACAATTTCTAATATCCAAGCGGCTAATGCTCTCTATTTCCTGCATGAGAAGAATGCTCTTAATTAGTCAAATTGGTGAAAACTATTTACCTAAAAAAAACTTTTTTAAAAATAACTAAGATATTTTGTCCAGTTGTTGCGTCGATGAGGAAGTTCTATAATGCAAATATATAATACATCAAACACCAATATAAATTGTGTAGTTGAATTTTGAAATGTTTTTTAATTTGATGCAATTTTAAAGCTTGAGCTTACGGAGATATTATACCTGGTTAAAGCTGGGAAGCTTTTCAAGGTTACTACATCCATCAAAATCCAATTCCACAAGTTCCGTAAGATTTCCCAAAGATGAGTGGATCTCTTTCAATTTCTCACACTTTGAAAGTAGTAAATATTCCAAATTTGGCATCATAAAAAAATTTGGTGTTTCTGACAAAGATCTACAATGACTAAGATCCAAATGGGTAATGCTCTTCATTTCCTGCAGCATGAGAAGAATGAGATTGTTAAATTGTTCAGAACTCTTAGATTTTAAAACTTTTTAAAAATAACTATCATATATTGCTAAGTTTTTGTTTTAGAGAAATATTGAGTGACTGGAATGAGGAAAGTTGGGAAATGAGATTTTCAAACGTGTAATCACTTTCTATAAGTTTTAAATCTCTCTCAGAAAATCAACATTGTTCAAGATTTAAACTTATGAGATATAAGAAAATGAATGAAATTCTTAAGTTGATTTGTTTAAAAATTTCCTATAGAATTGTAAGACTGAAATATATCAGTGTATTGTAAAAACTTGCAACTATTCTTTGACATGTCTCGCCAAAAATATTTATATAAAATATTTTGACTATTAAGAGTGGTTACATGGAAGTTACGATAGTTCAAAATTTCAACTTCCAAAAGATATATATTAATATCTTAACCATGGGAAAATATAATTACGTAAAGCATGTACTGCATAAATATTTTACGTAATATAAATGTATCTCTGTAGTTTTATATATAATGCATGCAAATTTTTGTGTATGAATTATATACACATATATATTTATAATTTGTATGCACTCGTCAGTGCAAACAAATTTATATATGTATATTATAATTGCTAAGCATATATTTGCATGGAAACAAACTTACGTACTGTAAATCAACATTCTATCCGTATGTATCTGAAGAATTAGTTCAACATATATATCCGAACAGTCATCAGTTTCTCATCCGAAGACTTAATGTCCTTTTCTATCCGAAAAGTTTATTTCAAAACACAATTTTGACTTCTCGGAATCAACTGCACGGAAATTAACTTTTCGGAAGTTAACGTCTCAATTCCGGAACTGAGTATCATTCCGTACGGTTCCAGCCTTTCATAAAACTCATATTTTCCAATTAACTTTCAATGAAACTAAAATAATATTTATAATTCACAACTCCAAATAATTTTGTCCAATAACAAAATAATAGTAGTATAATATTTGTAAAGTAATGTACAATTGTACCGTTATAAAAAGACATACAAAAAATATTAATACCATAATGATCTAAATCATTCCAATAATGCAAAAGCATAATTGAAATATTGAGTTTTGTTCTAAATAATCAAAAGATGATTAATTAAACGAAAAAAAAAAACCTTAACCTAAATTTGTTTTTTGTTTAATGTAAGAAAATGATTTACAAAGTTCATGAATTATAATATTTTATGCTCAACTTTGAATGTTTTGTATTTAGTCGGACTAATTATTTGACCAAAATTTATGTTAAATTTTATATTATATTTATTTTTTAATACTCCGTATATTTTAACATATTTGTAGTATATGTTTAACAATTATGCCAACTCTGACTGGAATGAGGTTCAAACCTAAGACCTTTCTTATAGAAACTAATGAATAAGTTAAGAATAATAAATAGTTAACGGAATATTCCATTACTAAAGTTTATACTAACGGAATTCAGGATTATTTAAGAGAAGAAAATAATATAATAGAGGGTAAATAAGGAAAAACATAAAAAAAAAAAAAATTACTAAAATTAAAATACTTCGTAATATAGACCATTCATTTTAAGAAACAATTATACCAACATTTTTTTGTTCCAGTTAAGGGCCTAACATTATTGTCTCTTATTAGATTTGTAGATTGTAGATATTATAATTGCTAACCATCAATTTCTCATCCAAAGACTCATTTTCTTTTCCATCCGAAGAGTTGATTTCATAAGTCAATTTTGACTTTTCGAAATCAACTGCTCGGAAATTAACTTTTCAGAAGTTAACGTTTCGATTTTGAAACTAAGTACCATTCGGTTCGGTTCCAATCTTTCGTAAAACTCATTTTTTTTTGAATGCTACTGACTCACTCATTTTTTTTTTGAATGCTACTGACTCTATTACAATGTAGTATACACTCATTTTTTTTTTTGAATGCTACTGACTCTATTACAATGTAGTATACCTACTGAAACACAAAGAGCCAATAATGCCTCCACTGAGGCTTGAACTCACAACCCCCCATATGGGAGTACAACCCGGGTGCCATTAGACCACAACTCCAAATATTATTTTAGTTTTTTTGGTAGTACATCTAGAACATTAATCTCCATTATTATATAAATTTCCAACATCTATGCAGATGAGGGAATTTTTATAATCTTAACATATGAATCCAACTCCTCTAGATTTAGTGTATTGCCTTGAATTTTGAAAAAAAATTCTAACATAGTGGTATTGTCAAGATTGAGAAACTTGAGATATGAAACTTACTTGATTGAAGCTGGGAAACTTTCCAAGGTTGCTGCATTTTCTTAAATTCAATTTAACAAGTTTCTTAAGATTTCCAATAGAAGTATGTATTGTTTTTAATTTCCCACAGCCTGAAAGGTTTAAATTCACCAAATTCAGCATTTTTGCAAAATTTGGAGTTTCTAACAAAGAGTTGGATGAGCTCAGATCCAAGTAGGTAAGTTTCTTCATTTCCTGCAAGAGAATATTAAGGATAAAGAAAGGTTGAACTCTATGTTAAATAAGGAAAAAAAGATTAACACCGAGTGCAGAGTTAGTTGGGTAAGAATCAAATACCATTGGGCAAAAAGGGTTTGACCATGGATAATGTGGGAATTTAAGCACCATCAAATTCCTTGGGAGATAATTCATAATGCCTGTCTCTTTAAAAGCTTCAATACTTTCCAGATGAGACTCTGACCTACAATGATAATTTTCTTGATATTTAACAAGGAGCATCTGCAATTTTGTCATCTGTTTGAAAGAGTCAATACAAGGGCTAATACTCTCATCACAGTCGAAGGAAAGCAAAAGACCTTCCACCGCCATAGGCTCCTAAAACAAGAAAACAATATGTACATTAATCATTTTAATTCAACGCAAAATAACATTATTAAAAAAAAAAAACAAAAACATTTGATGATAGCGTATTAAGAAGATATTAAGGCACAATAAATGTATCTTACATCATTAAGGTCGTCAAGCTGCCACCTCCTGCTCCTTTCTTTACTTTCAATACTCAATCCCATCTCATGTATCAAATCATGCATATGAATAAATCCATGTGATTCAAATAGTAGACATCTATCAATAAGCAGAGATATATTTGTATCAGGATATAATTTACAACCATTAAGTACTTCTTTTACAATATCCAGGCGCTCGTCCCGAAAAAAGCATACTATATCCAAAAATACCTTTTTGCACACCTTACACAGTCCTTCATAACTTATCTTAAGCTTTTCAATAACATTCTCATCAGGGATGTCTTTAATCATCTCTAGTTTGCTTTTCCACATTTTTTTATTTGTCTGTCCACGTAGAGAAGAACCCCATACCTTAAGGGCTAATGGAAGACCACTAGCATGAGTTACAAAAGATTTAGATAGATTTTCAAATCCATTCTCCGGAGATTCTTTTTTAAAAGCATGCCAACTAAATAGTTCTAGTGCTTTTTCTTTCTCCAATTTTTTAACTTCATAAGTTTCAACAACAATTGTAAACTGAGTGAATAAATGCTTGTCTCTGGTAGTTATGATGACTCTACTACCATTACAAAGCCATTTACCATCTCCAACCAATTTCTCTAATTGATCCTCATTATCTACATCATCAAGAACAATCAATACTTTCTTCCATTTGAGCCTTTTATGTATCATACGTATTCCTTCATTCACATCATCTATATCAATTGAATTTTCCTTCAAAACTTTTGATAGGAGTTTCTTTTGCAAGGCTTCCAGCCCGTGTTTTCTAACATCAGCAAGAAAACATGAGCCATCAAATTCACTAGAAAATTGATCAAAGGCAACTCTTGCAATGGTTGTTTTCCCAATACCGCCCATACCCCAAAGGCCTAATACTAACTTAACATCTTCATCCCACACTTCCAACTTCATTCTTATTTCTTTAAGACGTGACTCTAATCCCACTAAACCTTTTTCGACACTTGGAGATGGAAGCAGTTTTGATATGTCAGCACTGACTGCTTTGATACACTTTAATTCATACCTGAGATTGAAGACATGGAATTAACTAGTATTTCAAGAAACTCTATATATTACTTACAATTTATATTTATAATTTATAATTAATGAAAAAGAAAAGAAGGTAGGGTGTTGAAAGCAAACCCGTTATACTCATCACCCTGCAAATCGTGCCCTGCAATACTGCCTGCCTCTGTCAAAGCTTTCCTCCATCTTTCAACCCTCCCCTTGCCCTCATTCTCTTCATGTTTGGCAAATGCTTCTTCAAAACTTCCAGTTTGTTTGCGCACATGTGAAGGCTCTATGTCGCAGAAAATTGGCACCACAACCTGGTTGAGATTTTCTTTGCATTCCATGATTTTTGCAAGTTCGTCTAGACACCAGGTTGACGATGCATAATTTTTGGAGAAGACTACAACTGCAAATCTGGATTCTTGAATAGATTGCAGCAGAGCGGGAGCAATCTGCTGTCCTTTCTCCAGCCGCTCGTCATCTTTGAAGGTGTGGAGTCCTTTCAAGTTCAGGCGATCGTAAAGGTGATCAACAAAATTCTTGCGAGTATCTTCACCTCGAAAGCTCAAGAAAACATCATAAGTCAATTTCCGGTTTGATTGTGAAGGAGTATCAGAAGCCGCCATATTTTAGAAGTCGACGACCATACAGCAAACCAATTGGATTGGAGATTCAAATGTATGAGATCCACAAACAAAATACACACCGGATCGGATCGGAGTAATTAAATCAGAGTTACAAGAAGCTAAGTCAACCCCTTGACTTGCCTGAAAAGTATTAGGCTATCTTTTCTCTTCGGCAGATCTGCAACAACTCAACCAGCCATAAAGATGGAAAAAGCAAACCAAGATCTACCGTTGTTGAAGCCGGCCGAGGAATATCATATCGGAGAAGACGGTAGAAATGAAAATAATGAAAGAAAGCAAGAAACAGGACAAATCAAAAAACCAAAGAAAGAATGGGAATGAAAACAAAAAGTCATCTCAGTGGAAATTTCATAGAAAGTTGAAAAGGCTTAAATTTAGTCGGCACCAACGTATGTGAGAGGATCCACTACTTTCTTTAATTACGACTTGACCCACGACTCAATAATTGCATTGGAGTTATTTTCACTTTTGGTCCAAGTATGAGATTATTTCCATATTTGATACTTAATTATTAAAATATTTTATTTTGGTCCCACGAATTTTAAATCTTTGCCACATTTGATCCTGATTATTAAAATTTGTATATTTGGTCCCATGACTTTTAAATCTTTGCCACATTTGGTCCATGACTATTAAAATTTTTAGATTTAATCCATGACTTTTAAATCTTTGACACATTTAGTCCCTAACTATTAAAAATTTCAGATTTGGTCAGGTGATTTTCTAATCCCAAAATTAATAACTAATCTCCCTTCTAATTAAATAAATTGTATTGTTTGTATTAGGGGTGTGCAAACTTCGGATAATTTTAAAACTTCAATTAACGGTTAATTCGGTTCGAAAGGTCGGTTAACTGAAGTTTTTAATATATATATATATATATATATATATATATATATATATATATATATATATATATATATATATATAGAGAGAGAGAGAGAGAGAGAGAGAGAGAGAGAAAGAGAGAGAGAGAGAAAGAGAGAGAGAGAGAGAGAGAGAGAGAGAAGAGGATTATATTCAAATACAAACAATCTTTAAAATGCAAACGTGTGGATTGACTAGGATTGTTAGATTTAGAGATTGGATGGATAGGATTTATTTAATTATTTATGGGAATTTTTATTTAACCGTGCGTTGTTTTTAGGTTAGGGGGGTAATTTTGGGTTTTTACTATTGTGTTTAATCTGATGAAATTACGAGAATTCAATCAGCACTAATTATTTTGTCTTTCCCGATCTCTCTCTCTCCCTTTGCCGTACGTCTGCCAAAGAAGACTCTCCCACGCCGTTTGATTTGCATTCTTCATCAGCGGCAGACGATGGTCGTCGGTGGAGACCGCAGTGGAGCCAAGCGACGGGGACCACCATCTCGGGGCGTAGGTCGAGGTATTTTTTGCCCCCTTTTGTCTTGTTCGATTTAATTTTTTTGGTTGTTTTTATCTTTTTTTTTTTTTGGGGGGTGTTTGTTGGTGTTGGGCGGAGGGTGGTTATGCATGTGTGTTTGACGGCGGGATTGGTGGGCTTACGGTGGTTCAATGGAAATATAGGGGGCTTACGGTGGTTTAGTGGTCCAACGGTGAGATTGGGGCGGGTTTAATAGATTTAGCTTTTTTTTTTTCCTTTTGTACTAGTGTAGTATTTTTTTTTTCTCAATTTTGGGTCTTTTGTGAGGTGTGTGTCGGTGTGTGGGTGCATTGGGGGGGGGGGGCTGCTAGGGGTGTGGTGGCGGGGACCTCCGGCTGTTATCGTGCGAAGCTAGGTGAGGGGGTTTGGGTGTAGAGAGCTGCTGTTGGCAGTTTCAGTCGGGGTGTTGGTGGTGTTTGTTCGACCCGGGGGGGGGGTAGGGGGGAGGGGTTCTGCTGCCAGTGGTCCACCGAACTCTATGGACCACCCCTTAGCCCAGCACGTTAAATTAACCAAAACAATGCCCATAATTTCCTTCTAACACCTCCAGAAGCCCTTTTAAGCTTTAGAAATTGCCATACCAAAATTCCAGAAGCAACTTTTCAATGTTACCCCACATAATTCCAGAAGAATACATCATTCGGCCACCCAATGCAAGATGAAAGTAGGAAAATAAAATCAAAGCAGCAAAGCCTCCCACTGACACACAAACTTATTTTCCACCAATACAGCTTTAGGCTACTATTGCCATCCATTTTTTAGGCTGCCAATCACAAAATGTTCCTACAAATGTGTTGGTGGTGTTTGTTCGACACTGGGGAGGGGGTTCTGTTGGAAGTGGGGTTTTTTTTTTTTTTTTTGGGTTATCTTACTAATTTTTACCAAAGTCCATTGTTTATTTCATTTTGGGTAATGCTCTGTTGTTGAATTTGGTCATTTATGTTTGATATAATGACATGGTTGTGTGCACTCTTCGGTGGGATTAGTTATGGGCTGTTGTGGCAATAGAGGGTGTATGTGGCAGATTTTATTATTTGTTTTGGGTGGATTCATTGTTGTAGACTAAAGCTTTTGTAGTGGATGTCTGATTCATTGTCTTTATTTGAGAGCTTTATGCTTCTGTCCAGGTGTATTCATTGTAGTATTATTATTTTGCATATTAAATCTATTTATAATTATCAAATAAAAGTTAAATGACATTGGTAAATTTACATAAAGGATTAGTTAGTGGGAATGTGAGAGTGTAAAGTACTGTATTCGCTGTGTGTTTGGTTGTATGAGTTGTTGTATGCAAGTATTGTGTTGTTTTTGCGCACTCAGAACGTGTCTTTCAAATCAGTGTGTGCGTGTATGTCATCGAGTTTGTGCCCGACAGATTCGTCCGTGTTTTTGGCGTAGGCATATTGGATGCTAAGATTGTTTGTTTTGATGGGTTGTTGTGTGCAATGCTTGTGTTATTTTTGTTGTGTATCTCATTGGTCTGTGCATGAGTGTGGTGGAGTGTGTGCACGAAAGGTTTTAAATTTACCATTATGTATTTGGGTGTTCTTCTGTTTCATTATTCTGGGGGGATGTTGGTGATTTCTTTTATGTTATTTGGTAATTGCAGGTAAGAGGTCCATGGGTGTGCATCATGATCTTGGTGTCTCCTAGAGTTGTGTTAGTGATGATCAGGGCCGGCCCTGGGCAAGTCTGCCCAGGGCCGCCGCCCTGGGCCCCCAAAATTTGGGGGCCCCTTATTTTAAAAAAAAAAAATTTAGTATATATATACATCACATGCAGCGCAATGCCTCAATCAGCCAATCAACATTCAATTCAAACAAATCTTGAAAGCCAAGCCACAAGTTTATTAACCTAACCTAAATTATATAAGTGCCTTGATTAGGCAGTGCCGCAGTAGGCATCAATTAGACAATTACCGTACGAATTCCGATTTCCGAATTACGAGTTGAGGACGGACAAATCGCAGACGAGACACACACAATTTCTGATTGCAGTCTACACTCTACAACACAGGTATTTGTCTATTATTTAATTTATTTAATGAGTTTTTAATTTGAGTATTTGAGAATTGAGGAATTGCTGTTTGTTTCCTAAAATAAAAATTACAGTTCGTTTCTTAAAAAAAGAATTGTTGTTTGTGAGTTATTTAATTTGAGTTTTTAATTCGTTTCTTGATTAATTATTTATTTATAGAGTTCCTAAATAAATTTTTATTTTTCTTTAGGATTTTATGTCTTCTAGAAAATATTCATCTAGGTTTGAGAAGCGTAAAAAGAAAAGAAAAATTGAGCAACTAACTCAATCTCAAAAGGGAGCTCTTGAAAAATTCATTACAAAAAAAAAAACTCAAATAGATGAGCAAAAAGATGAAGCCAAGGAAAAATTGTTAGATGCTAATCTTCATATAGAAGATCAAGATGATCAAGATGATTGTGAGATTGGAAAAAATTTAAATGATAGTGTGCACAACGATGATAGGTATCACTGTGACAATGAAAATAATAAGAATGTTGAAAATAGTTGTTTAGATGATGTTGGTCACCGTGATAAACCAAATGATTCGCTTTTATTTGACATATATGATCCAAGAAATTGGGATGCCCTTGATTCTAAATTAATAGATATTATTGTGAAAGATGGTCCTAAAAGAGATTTATTAATAAACAAAGGTCCTAAAGATAAATTCTCTAGAAGATTTTCATCAGCATTTTACACAAGATATTTGTCAAATGGAGAGAAGTGTGATCGAGATTGGCTTGTATATTCAAAAAAACTTGATAAGGTGTTTTGTTTTTGTTGCAAGATTTTTAAAAAAGGTATAGGAAAAGGTGTTTTGGTCAATGAAGGTTTTAGGGACTGGACACATCTTGGTGTTAGACTTAAAGAGCATGAAACAAGTGTAGATCATATAACTAATATGACAACTTGGATGGAGTTGGGTCTTAGATTACAAAAAAATGAGACAATTGATAAAGTGGCTCAAGAACAACTTTTGAAAGAAAAAGAATATTGGAGGAAAGTACTATTTAGGATTATTGCAGCTGTGAAGTACCTTGCTAAAAATAACTTGGCATTTCGTGGAACAAGTGAGAAGTTGTATGAGAATAACAATGGGAATTTTTTGGGTCTAATTGAAATGTTGGCTGAGTTTGATCCTATCATTCAAGAGCATGTTTTACGTGCTATAAATCGTGATATTCATCATCATTATCTTGGTCATAAGATTCAAAACGAATTGATACTTATGCTTGCCACTGCAGTTAAAACAAAAGTCATCAAAAAAATCAAAGAAGCAAAATATTTTTCAGTGATATTAGATTGTACTCCTGATGTCAGTCACCAAGAACAAATGTCTTTGATTATAAGATGTGTGGATATATCAACATATCCAATTAAAATAGAAGAGTTCTTCTTGGAATTCTTGGTTGTGAATGACACTACTGGCCAAGGTCTTTTTGAAGTATTACAAAATGTGTTGATATCACTTGATCTTGATATAGATAATGTAAGGGGACAAGGTTATGACAATGGGTCAAATATGAGAGGGAGACATCAAGGTGTACAAAAAAGACTCTTGGATATAAATCGTAGAGCATTTTATACTCCTTGTGGTAGTCATAGTCTTAACTTGACTTTGTGTGACGTTGCAAATAGTTGTGGCAAAGCAAGGGATTTCTTTGGAGTAGTGCAACGTATTTACACAATATTTGCTAATTCCACAAAGAGGTGGCATATCTTGAAAAGTAATGTAACAAATCTAACTCCTAAGCCATTGTCATCTACTCGATGGGAAAGTCGTGTAGAAAGTGTTAAAGCAATTAGATATCAAGTCAGTGATATTCGAGAAGCCCTACTTCAAGTGGCAGATACAGACGGTGATTCTAAAATTCAAAGTGAGGCAAAATCTTTAGCTACAAATGAGCTTAGTAACTTTGAATTTTTGCTAGTCACAATCATTTGGTTCGAAATCTTATCTATGGTCAATATAGTTAGCAAGCAATTACAAACAAAAGATATGCTTCTTGATGTTGCTATTAATTAAATTAAAGGGTTAGTTTCTTTCTTCAAGAATTATAGAGAAAATGGTTTTTCTACTGCCATGGATATTGCAAAGGAAATTGTCACTGAATTAGAAATTGAGCCAGTGTTTCCTCAAAAGCGAAAAATTCGTAGAAAAAGACAATTTGATGAGAGTGCTGATGATACTTCATTATCACCAGAAAAATCTTTTAGGGTTCATTATTTTTTATACATTGTAGATCAAGCTATTATTTCATTGACTCAAAGGTTTGAGCAATATGAAGTATATGAAGGAACTTTTGGTTTTTTGTTTAGTTCTCACAAGTTACAATTGATGGCTGATATGGATTTGAAGTCTTGTTGCATTTGTTTAGAAGCAGCTCTTAAAAGAGATGAGCAGTGTGGTGATATTGACGGAAATGAATTGTATATTGAGCTAAAATTACTTAGAGAGATTTTATCGAAAGAAAATATAGGAGCAGTGAGTATATTGAATTCATTGAAACAGATGGGTTGTTTTCCAAATGCTACTATTGCATATCGAATATTATTGACTATCCCAATTACTGTTGCCTCTGCAGAGAGGAGTTTTTCAAAGTTGAAATTGTTGAAATCTTACTTACGATCAAGTATGTTGCAAGAGAGACTCAATGGATTAGCTTTAATCTCTATTGAAAATGAGATTTTGGAAGAAATTGATATCAAAAGTTTAGTAGATGATTTTGCGTCTAAGTGTGCACGGCGCATTTCACTTTTTAATTAAATGAAATTTTAGATGTATTTTTTTTAATACACTATTTATATTTTGAATTTTTGACACTACTTTTTGAATAACTATTTTTTATATATAAAAATTACTTGAAAAGGGGGCCCAAATTAAAATATTGCACAGGACCCCAATTTTGATTGGAACGGCCCTAGTGATGATGACTTCGTTTCACCACCGTTGGCCTTCCTTGCTAGGCTGCAGGAAGACCCGTTGCGGGGTGCCCCTAATTATGAGATTACTGCAGAAGCGGATGCAATGTTTCCCATTGTGAATGCTATGTTTACACTTGTGATCGTTTAAAGTATTACTTTAAAGTTTTCTGTCCCTTGGGTCTTCTGTAGGATTTTTGGGCTTTTTGACACTTTGTATATAATTATCGGTTGTAACTGTGTTCCTTGGGGTTATTTTGATCGCTAAATAGTGCATATTATAGTTTTTCTTGACTCAAAGATGTCACTTTTATACTAGCTTTATGTTAGTTTTTGAAGTTACTGTTCCACAAATTTTATCGCCTTTGAATGTCCACTTTTGTAACAGTAACTTATTGCTTCCTATTCTTCGGACAACTATGCACACAGTTTTGATATTGTGTGCGTTATTAGGGGGAATACCACGCGTTGTGCACATACGTGAATTTAGCTGTGCACATATGTGCGTTCATTTGTTAGCTAGTGTGCACTCTGTCACTCACAGTACACGAAATAGGTTTGCCATAATTCAAATATACCTCCTACAGTAAGGCGCACACACACTTAAACCCACATTTGCACAAACCTATTGCTCCATTATCCCTGTGTGCACCTGAACTGCCAAGTGTGTGCAGCAGTACACTCGTAACTAAATTCTACGTAATGTTCGTTCCAATCTGTATACGTCTTCATACATGTCTTCACTCCATTAATTACCATTACTGCTATGCAGACATTCCACCATATTATAATGTAATAAATTTTTTTAATTACGAAATGCACACATTCCACCATATTATAATGTAATAAATTTTCAAACATTTCAACTAGGTTTATTGTAAATAGTTTTGGTGTCAATCATTGCAAAACACAAAAAACAAATATTCTAAATAATGAAAACAGAAATATACTAAACGAAAACTAATTTGTTTGGACAATTGCGACTATCATGGTGGCCAACGTCGTCCCATGTATGGCACTTCCTCCCCCATTTTTTCTTCTTCTCGGCTACTTTTTCTTTGTTGATTTTTTCTCATTACTACTAGGGCACCAGTATTTGCTTCTGTTTGGGGATATGTCCATGATTCATTCTTGTAATCCTCCAACAGATTGCTCCTCCCCTATAATGACAACATTTAATGTTGGATGTTAGTGCACAAGCCTCTCATTTAAATTCAGACATAAAAAACAGTAGAATCACATGTGCGCACAGTTTATCCCAGTTGCGTACACAGATTATCGTATGCGCACAATCGTGCACTCATTCAAATTTGAGTGTGCACGAGTATTATTTTATGATTATGTATTCTATAGTAAACCTCGTACTGTCCCCATCTAACATGGCTTCGAAACTCATCCTATTCATTCCCTTTTACTCACAATGAATAATACAGTACTAAAGTTTTCCCTACACAAACATGTTATTAATTAATATTTAGAAAAATAAAAGTTTTTAAAAATAAATTCGAAGTAATAAAAATTGCAAGGGTTGTGTTCTAATTAAATATAATATAGAATTAGGAAGAACATTATCGATTCTTTAACTGCTTTGAAGATCATATAATCACATATATTAAATAAATTAATGGTGTTTGCAATTCTAAATAATTAATATATTAATATATTACTAAAGAAGGTAGTGCCATTACATTCTTTTGTGGTTTTTACCGGCCAAAGCAAAGACAAATACAAGAAGGTAGTGTCATTACATTTTTTTAAAATAGGGTTTTGAAAAGAAGGTGATGGCATTGGTACTTTACATATTTTAGTCTAGGGTTTAGAATTAGCACATTTTTATCCAAAGCATGTCAAATCCACACATTTTTGGCTATGACTCTTCACCATTCCCTTAGCGTCTCGCGTGTTGCGGAAGCCATTACATTTCAGTACTAAAGCGAGAATGGGGTGTGGGATCTTCGTTTTTTTCTTGTCCGTGTCCGCGTGGAAACCGTCCGCCGCAGGCGCGCGATTGACGAGGGATTTGCCGACAGCCCCGACGGGGTTGTCGGCATGTCGGTGCTGTGGCTGGTCCCGAGTAACCTCCTCGCGGGTTTCGCGGAGGGTATGAGCGCGGTTGCCCAAAACGAGTTTTACATTTCGGAGTTTCCCGAGAGCATGTCGAGTATGCTTCCAGTCTGTTTCTGCTCGGGATGGGATTCGCGAGCCTTTTAGCGAGCATCGTGATGAACGTTATCAATGATTTCACGGACGGCAAGGGCTGGATATCGAGCAATATAAACAAGGGTCACTATGATTATTATCAATGGATTCTTGGTGGTTTGAGTATGGTTAACTTGTTGCTGTTTTTTGTTTGCAGTAGGGCTTATGGTCAATGTAAAGATGAGAAAATGGAGGGTGTGGTGTTGGGCCCGGAAGATCAGCCACAAATTAAAAACACAAATTGACATTTGACTTAAGCTTGCAAAACTTACAGCTCTTCTTATTCACCAGTCACGAACCCCCTACCCCTACCTGCGAAGTAGAGAAAAACACTGATCTGCAGTGCGATGGGTTGAGATTAACAAAACTGCTACTGTTGAAACCATTGATAATCTCTTGCAGGTACTATTGAGCTCTCTCCATTTGATTCATTCTGTCAATTTCGTTTTGATTTCATAGGTAAAGAATAAAGATTGCTTTTTTACTAGACTGAATTTCAGTAGTTAACCCCAAGTTTACTTGGAATACGATTAGATTTCGTGGCTTGAATAAGAGGAGTGGTACGTCTTGCAAGCTTAAGTCAAATGTCAATTTTTTTTTCTTTTGAGATAAGTCAAACGTCAATTTTAGTCCGGCTAAAAATAGAGAATTTTTCCTCCGGTGAAATTTTGATAAAAAAGTGGTCGGAAGGACATTTTTGCAAAAAAAATAATCTAAAAACATAATAAGTCTCCATCAAAGTTATATCCCTCATTTATGTCCATATTTTTAATGCTAATCATTTTGTACATTGTGCTTTTAGAGTTGTACTATACAATTTTTTGGACAAAAATACCCTTACCGTTATAACTTCCGTTATCTTTTCCGTTACTTACCATGCACATGAATTTACCATATCTTTTCTTATATTCTTTAATTATAACAATATTTGTAAAACATTATATATTCATTATATATTAGATTAATATAATAAATAAATTTTATTTCACTTTGATTTTAATTAGTAAAAATTTGTTAGTTATTTTTAAAAATATAAATATTGGATATATGTTTTTGCGCATCGCGCATAGAAAAGACTAGTAATAATAATAATTGTGGACTAAAATTACAAAGTTTGAAAATCATGGATCAATTTTGATAGTGTCACTATAGTTGTGGACCAAAAGTGCAAAAACCTCATTAAACTACCATCAGGTCGACTATTATGTTGTGACCTGTAATGGAAATGTTTATAATACTCATTTCGAAATTATTATTGTAGCCTCAAGTCCTGAACTATATGATGGGAGGTTAGATATTATTATTGATGGGTTGGATTCTGGTGACTCGATCTCAAGGCACAAATTATGCCCTAGAAACGTGTTCACTATGAATGGTGAACACGCGTTCAAACGGCGTCGTTTTTACGGGAGAAAAATAAAAATTAGTTAATGTGCTGTTAACGGCGTTTTGCATTTTATGTTCAGATTATGAATTTAAATTTATTAAAATATGAATTTTCTATTATGTGATTATGAATTTACAGTATGTAATTATGAATTTTCTGTAAATCCATAATCTCATAACAAAAAATTCATAATCTCATAACAGAGATTATGAATTTTCTGTTATGAGATTATGAATTTACATTTATTAAATTATAAATTTTCTGTTATGAGATTATGAATTTACAGTTATGTAATTATGAATTTTCTGTAAATTCATAATCTCATAACAGAAAATTCATAATTTCATAACAGAAAATTCAAAATCTCATAAAAGAATATTCATAATTTCATAGCTGCACATTCATAAATCAATGCTTGCACATTCATAATTTATGAGTGTTGAAGAATCTTGCGCGAAGAGGAAGTGAAACCGCGAAATGTGAAAATGAAGAAGAAAAGTCGAGAGAGAACAATTAAAAAAAAAAAAAAAAAAAAAAAAACGATAACGGTGCCGTTACCGTTGGGACCGTGATGGTGAACACGGTTCCATGGCATAACGATTGATCTCAAGGGATTCAATTGTTATGTCATGGAACCATGTCCACCTTGAAAGGTAGACACGATTCTATGTTCATAATTACTAAACTTTATGTTTATAATTATAAAACTCTATGTTCATAATTTTTGAACTTTATATTCACAATTACAGAACTTTATGTTCATAATTACTGAACTATGTGTTCATAATTTTTTATCTTCATATTCACAATTATTAAATTCTATATTCACAATTCAGAACTCTATATTCATAATTATAGAACTCTATGTTCATAACTCTATATTCATAATTATAGAACTCTATGTTCATAATTTTTGAACTCTATATTCATAATTGTGATAGTTTTGGAATCAAGATGGACACGATTCAACAACATAATTTGCTCAAGGGATTGGTCTTGGCTCAAGTTCGTTGCAATCTGAAGTTTAAGGTACATGATGACTCACTTATAGAAGGTGTAACTATGAGATATGGGTCCATCAGATTAATAGTTTTTCTTATAAATTATAAAAGAAATAAATTTCTTAAATTGTGAGCATAAATTATAAGTTAATTTCCAAAAGCATAAGAAAAACAATATCCTAAAATATAAGAAGAAAGATATATTTTTGCAAAAATAAAAAAAATATAAAAAATAAAATAAAATAAAATCATAAAAAT